GTTGTCAGTCCTGACCCTTGGTGTGGGGCCAGGAAGTGCCCTGGGCTCTTCACCCAAGCAGCGTGTTAAGGTAATGAAGATTTAACAGCTGACCAGCTGCTGGAAGGCTGTAAGCCATGGTGACGAACTGAGGATGAGTCAGCAGGGTACTGCCGCTTTAAGAAGCTGTCTATATAAGGGAGGCCATGTGAGGGTCTCTCTCTCTCTCTCTCTCTCTCTCTCTCCTCGTGTTCTACCTCCATTGTAGTTCTCCATGTAAAGTTGAAGTTTGATTGCTTGCCTGGTATTTGCCTAACATGTGTATGTCTGTATATAGCTGTCTTGTATATAAACCATTGTTAAAAGACGAAGCCTCTGTGTATTGTGTTGTGCTCCTGGGTTGTGTCTCACCTGGGCAGACTCTCCCTCCTCTCCCTCCTCCAGGCTCCTGATGGGCTTCATGGGTGTCACGGCCTTCCTCTCCATGTGGATCAGCAACACGGCCACCACAGCCATGATGGTGCCCATCGCCCAGGCCGTCCTGCAGCAGCTGCAGAAGTCGGAGCTGGAGCAGACCGCTGCGGAGCAGGGGGCCACCCAGAATGGGACCATCAACCGGGCCTTTGAGATGCAGGAGGCCCCCCCGCAGCAAGGTAGGCCTCCCGCTGGCACTCCAGGCTTCCTCCCGGCTTGCAGGGGATCCCAGAGGAACGCCGGGCCAAGACGGGCAGGTCTTGGTTTGGCTGAGGCCTCCTGACACTTAGATTAACAGAGTTGGAAGGGGCCTTGGAGGTCATCTAGTCCAACCCCCTGTCCAAGCAGGAGACCCTACACCATTTCTGACTGAGGGTAGTCCAGTCTCTTCTTGAAAGCCTCCAGGGATGAAGCTCCCACAACTTCTGAAGGCAACTTCTGTTCCATCAGTTGATTGCTCTCACTGATGGAAAATTCCTCCTTATTTCCAGGTTGAATCTCTCCTTGATCAGTTTCCACCCATTACTCTTTGTCTGGCCTTTGGGTGCCTTGGAGAATAGCTTGACCCCCTTCCTCCTCTCTGAGGCAGCCCCTCAAATATTGGAAGGCTGCTCTCCTGTCTCCCCTGGTCCTTCTCTTCCCTGGACTAGCCAGGCCTGGTTCCTGCAACCGTTCTTTGTTTTAGCCTCCAATCCCCTCATCCTCCTGGTTGCTCTTCTCTGCCCTTTTTTTCTAGAGTCTCAAAATATTTTTTATAGTGTGGTGGCCAAAACTGGACGCAGGACTCCAGGTGTGGTCTTACTAAGGGTAGACAGACAGACAGACAGACATGTTATAGATCAGAGGTGGGATTCAGCAGGTTCTGACCAGTTCTGGAGAACCGGTAGTGGAAATTTTGAGTAGTTCAAAGAACTGGCAAATACCACCTCTAACTGGAGATTCTGCAGTATCGTTTCCCTAAAGATAGATAGAGACAGACAGAGAAGAGAGAGAGAGAGAGACAGACAGACAGAGAAGAGAGAGAGAGAGAGAGAGAGAGAGAGAGACTACACTAGACTAGCCAGGCCCAGTTCCTGCAACCGTCCATCGTTTGTTTGAGTCTCCAGTCCGCTAATCATCCTGGTTGCTCTTCTCTGCACTCTTTCTAGAGTCTCAGCATCTTTTTTATAACATGGTGACCAAAACTGGATGCAGGACTTCTAGGTGTGGCCTTACTAAGGCTTTACAGAGTGGGGTTAGTACCTCCCTTGATCTCGATTGTCTCCCTCTGTTAATTCCTCATCCAGCCCCTGGATCACAGGGGTGGTCTGCCTCCCACTTGCCCGCTGCCCTCCCGCCCGGCTTGCTGACCCCCACCCCTCTTATGACCCTCCAGCCCAGGTGCAGGTGGTGGTGAAGGAGAAGCTGCCGGAGGAGGCTGAGCAGAAGCTGGACGAAGAGCTGCAGCAGCTGCAGCAGAAGCACCAGACCTTGTGCAAAGGGATGAGCCTGGCCGTCTGCTACGCTGCCAGCATCGGCGGCATCGCCACCCTGACGGGCACCACCCCCAACCTGGTCATGAAGGGGCAGATGGACGAGTGAGTCTTCCCGGCAGCCCTGCATGGCCAAGCGTCCCTCTCTCGCTCCGGGCATGGCCCCCTCCCCGGGTTTCTGTCCCAGAGGATTAAGGGGTGGGGGGTCCAGAAGGGTCTCCCTCCTACTTTCCCCATGGCTCCTTCCCATGTTCCAGACCAGGAGTCCCAACCTTGGGCACTTTAAGACTTCCTCCCTCCCCTCCCTCTTGCTCCTTCCTTCCTTCCTTCCTTCCTTCCTTCCTTCCTTCCTTCTCCTTCTTTCCTTCCCTCCCTCCCTCTTGCTCCTTCCTTCCTTCCTTCCTTCCACTGATTAACAGAGTTGGAACTTGTAGATCATCTAGTCCAACCTTCCCTTGTAGGTCATCTAGTCAAATCTTTCCTTCCTTCCCTCCCTCCCTCCCGCTTGCTCCTTCTTTCCTTCCTCCCCTCCCATTTGCTCCTTCCTCCTTCTCTTCCTTTCCTCCCTCGCTTCTTCCTCCCTCCCTCCCCGAATCATAGAATCCTAGGGTTGAAAGGGGCCTTGGAGGTCTTCTAGTCCAACCCCTTGCTCAAGAAGGAGGCTTTATCCCATTTCAGACCAATTCAGCCACAACTTCTGGAGGAAGCCCCCCCCCCTGTTCTGCCGATTAATTCTTCTTATTGCTAGGAAATTTCTCCCACATTCTAGGTTGCTCCTCTCAGTTCTGCCCCCAAAGGAAGAGGGTCGGCTGAGGATGTCACGTTTCCTGGCGCTGCCCTTGTGCCCCCTGCAGACCAGCCCTTCTTACCCTTGCCCACTTTAAGGCGGGTGGGCTTCAGCGGCCAGAATCCCCTGCCCCCAGCAGGCCACCTGAGGCTGGGAAAGGCGGCTGCCCTGGGCGGGGTCGGGGGGGGGGGGGGGGGGGGGGGGGGGGGGGGGGGCGCCCGGGGGGCCCAGGGGGGGGGGGGGGCTGTCTCTCCTCGCCAGGCTCTTCTGCCGCAACGACAACGTGGTGAATTTTGCCTCCTGGTTCACCTTCGCCTTCCCCGCCATGCTGGTGCTGCTGGTCCTCTCCTGGCTGTGGCTGCTGGTGATGTTCCTGGGCTTGGAGTGAGTCTAGGGCCTCCATCCGGTCTTGGGGGAGGAAGCGGGGGGGAGGGGGCTCACGGAAGAGGCCACTGGGTTCCCCCCTTAATTGGGTTGTGGGGGGGCTTGGCCTCCAACCAAGGGGTGCTGGGCAGAGATATTTGGTCACCAGAGACCCTGAGCAGACAGAGTGAGAAGGCAGCTCAGTCTGCCCAGAGCAGGGGTCTCCAACCTTGGCCACTTTAAGCCTGGCGGACTTCAACTCCCAGAATTCCCCCGCCAGCTTTGCCGAGTTGAAGTCCTGCAGGCTGAAAGTGGCCAAGGTTGGAGACCCCTGGTCCAGAGAGACCTCCTGCCAGGTTGACCCTTCCAGGGCAAGGTGCTGGGGAGGGGGGTGGAGAATCCTCTCTGCTGGCTGCCCCCCCATCCTTTCCCCTCTGACCTCACAGCTTCAAGAAGAATTTCGGCTGCGGCACCAGCGAGGCGGAGAAGCGGAAATCGGAGCAGGCCTACAGCATCATCAAGAGCGAGTACCGGGCGTTGGGCAGGATGAAGTTCTCCGAGGTGGCTGTCCTCATCCTCTTCATCGCCCTGGTGGTCCTTTGGTTCACACGGGAGCCTGGCTTCATGCCCGGATGGGCCAACGCACTCTTCAGCCAGAGGGCAAAGAGGTGAGGAGGAGGGTGCAGGTCTTGGAGCTCTGGATAAGCTGCCTTTGGGTCAGTGATGCAACCGGTTCGCCCTGGTTCGCCTGAACTGGTTGCCAAAAATGCTACTGACGATCAGCTGATTGGCTCGGCAGAGCCTCAGCGGGTGTTTGGAAAGCTGCGTGCACACCCAGGAAGTGCACAATCACCCAACTGGTTAGGGAAACTGGTAGAATCCCACCACTGCTGGTGGTCTTGCCCAGAGACCCAAAAATATTGGCTAAAAATAAAAAAATGGTTGCAAGAGATTACTAAAACACAAATAGAAGCAGAACCGGAATTATTTTTATTGGGGATATTTAAGAAAAAATATGGGAGAAATATAAAAGATATAATATTACATATTCTGACGGCAGCTAGAATTGCTTTGGCCCAATGCTGGAAACACCCATCTATAGCTTCCGATTAATTGGTTATTGAAAAGACAATGACAAGTGCTGAGATGGACAAACTAACGTTGATGTTAAAAGAGAAAGAGGAATACTATAAAATTTGGGAACGATGGTATGACCGGATCGAACAAACATAGTTAAAAGGTTGATGAATTAAGGATAAACAATACATAAGTTAAATGTTTATAGTGGCATAAATTGTATATATTTGTAAACAACACACAAAATAGCAGTATAAGAAAATTGCCACAGTTTGTTGAATTAATTGTTGAATTTAAGAGATTTTTACTTTTTACTTGTTTTATTTATTTTTGGGTTTTTTTGAAAGCTATAAAAGATCAATAAAGTCTATTTAAAAAAAAAATCCCACCACTGCTTTAGGTCCTCCCCTTGCTTCCCCCCCTACCCGAGCTGGGTTTTTTTTTATAAATATTTTTTTATTTTGACAACAAACAGACAAAACACAAATACAAAACATCTAATAAAACCATCTTTCCATTGTACATTGTGTCGGTTGGTACATATCTCTTGTCCACAATATTAATATTAGTCTTTCCCTTCTAAACTAAAGTTCATATGATGTAAATCAGCTATCCATATTATATTGTTATCACACCATTATTAGTCTTTGATTGTAAGTTCATATCATCCTTTCCAAATCTCTATTTTTACAATGTCTGCTTCATAATATCCTCCATTTCACAGTAATGAAGCATAACGGAGCTGTGCTTGAGGCAGCCAAAGACCCCTCCCCTTTCAGGCCTCTCCCTCCAACCCGGTCTCAGCCGGGGGGGGGGGGCTGAGTGACACTGGACTCTGTCTTACAGCCACATCACGGACGCCACCGTGGTCATCCTCATCTCCCTCCTGATGTTCTTAATCCCCTCCGAATTGCCCAGGTGTTCTTCCGGGGCCCAGCAGGAAGGTAAGCAGAGAGGGTCAGGCTGGCAGAGGGAGCAGCCTGGGGGGGGCCCTCCTGGCAGACCCCTCCTGGGAAGGTTCAAGCGAGGGGTCCGGAGTGCCTCCACTCTGCTGGCAGCTCACTCAGGAGCCCCGAGATCAGAAGGGATCGGGTGGAACCACCTCTTCCTCCTTCCACCTCTGCCCCGATTCTTTTCCGGCAGTGGAGGAGCGTTTCAGGGGTCCAGATTCACTGACCTTGGAGCCAAGGAGGGAGGATTGGGGGTCTCTCCTGCCTTCCCCAGCTGCCCATCTAAAACTTGCCCTAACCAAAAATAAATTGGGGTGACAGAGAGAGGAGAAAACTTCAACAAGGCCATTTGGAGTTTAGGTTTAGGATGATCCCAGGAAGAAGCCACGTGGGGGTCTCCAACCTGGGGCCCCTTTCAGACTGGGGGACTTCAACTCCAGACTCCCCCAGCCACTTTTGCTGTCTGAGGAATCCTGGGAGGTGAAGCCCACCAGGCATAAAGTGGCCCAGGGTGGAGACCCCTGATATCCCCCCCCCATCCAAAAGAACGAAGAAAAGATGAGGCCACTTCTGGTCAAATCAACCCAGTTTTCTGCCCCTTAGGAAATTGGGAGGCGAAGGGGGGGGACTAGTTTCACCTTGAGAGGAAGACCCTCCCCCTCAAGTTAACAAAGCACCACCAGGTGGGGGGCGTGTCAAGGGGAAACTGGTTTCAAGGAGGTGGGGCGAATGGCCGGAGCCGAGGTGCTTCCTCCCCGCTTCTCTTGCAGGCAGCCCGGGGCAGATCCGCGCGCCCCCCGCCCTCCTGGACTGGACCACCGTCAACCGGCAAATGCCCTGGAACATCGTCATCCTCCTGGGCGGGGGCTTCGCCTTGGCCAAAGGCAGCGAGGTGAGGGGCTGCCCCGCCACGGGTTGGGGGGAGCGCTCCCTCCCCTCCGATCGCCGCCGCGGGCCGCCTGCTGGCCATCCGGAGGAGCCCTTTCCCGCCACCAGGGGGCGCCCCCCATCCCCGCAGGGGGCGAGGGTCGGGGTCCCCGCGCGTGGGAAAGTCCGGGCTGCCCGGGGGTGGCATCAGCGGGAGCGGGGGGGGGCGCTGGCACCGCCTCTGCCCGGAGCGCCTGGCAAGCGCGCAGGGGCGCCTCTGGGGCCCGTTTTGGAGGGGCAGCGCTGGAGGGGGGGACCAACTTCACGGGCTTTTTCCGCTCCTCCGGGGGCTCTTCAGGTCTCCGGCCTGTCCACCTGGCTGGGGAACAAGCTGACGCCGCTGCAGAACATCCCGCACCCGGCCATCACCTTCCTGCTCTGCCTGCTGGTGGCCGTCTTCACCGAGTGCACCAGCAACGTGGCCACCACCACCCTCTTCCTGCCCATCCTGGCATCCATGGTGAGAGCGGGGAGGGGCTGGCACGACCCCCCCCCCTCGCCTGGCCAGAGCCTCCCCGGCTGCCCCCAAGGATTCCCAGGGAGGGAGGGAAGATGAGGGGAATGGAGGAAGGAGGTCACCTGAAAAGAGAGCTCTTCACACTTGGGGACTTGAAGGCTTCAACTCCCAGTGGGGACCCCTGGATTAAAAGGAGGGGGAAGAAGGGAGGGAAGGGAAAAGAAAGAAAAAAGGAAAGGGAGATTAGGAGAACGGAAGGGTGTCATATGAGGAGAAGGGGGAGGAAGGTGAGGAGAATGTAGGAAGGATGTGAGCATTTGGGAAGGAGGGAGGAAGGAAGGGAAAGGAAAGAGGGAGGGAGAGAAAGAAGGAGAGGGAGGGGAGGCTTCCAGGCCGCTCAGGCACCCCCTCCCGCCGTGTTGAGCCCCCCCCCTGCCCCCCCCCCCCCCCAGGCCCAGGCCATTGAGATGAACCCCCTCTACGTGATGCTGCCCTGCACCCTTGCCGCCTCTCTGGCCTTCATGCTGCCGGTGGCAACGCCGCCCAACGCCATCGTCTTCTCCTACGGCAACCTCCGCGTCATCGACATGGTGAGCCCCGTCCCTTTGTGGGTGGGGGTAGTGAAATTGGGGTTCTTTCCTGGCCCGGCAGAAACAGAGCCCATCGCCCACCCTCAGCAAGGCCCACTTAGCCGGGCTTGGAAGCCAGAAACCTTCCCGGTGCCGCTTCCTCGTCCACGGCTGCAACAGCGCGGAGCCTCCAGTGACAGGCAGCTTCTCTCTGAATGTCAGGCGCCGAAGGGACTTTTCCTGCCCTGCTTGTGGGCTGGAGGAGCTGCCTCCTTTCCATCACCAAACAGCCCCGGGGTAGACCGCCCTTGGATAGGGAGGCTCTACGGGCCCTTCGCTGCCAGGTTCTGAAGCGGCTGGGTTTTTGGCTTTTGTTTTTGCCCTCCCAGGTCAAAGCCGGCTTTATGCTGAACCTCCTGGGTGTGCTGACCATCATGCTGGCCATCAACACCTGGGGTGGGCCCATGTTCAACCTGCACCAGTTTCCAGCCTGGGCCCACGTCAACGCCACCCAATGCTGACGGGTGGGAAAGAGGGTGACCCGAACTCAGAGCAGCTTGCCCGGCCCTGAGCTGGTTTCTGGGGCATCCGGTGGCCTCGCTCTGGGGGGCACAACGTAGCTCAGACCGGACCGGCCCTTGAGGATGGCCATGGGCCCTCTGGGCGCCTGCCGTGTTGCCAGCCAGCGAGACTTGATTTTCTGCCTAAGCGGCGCTGGAGGCGGCCTGGCACAAGGCTTGGGGGGGGGCTGCCACTATGCCCACCACGGGTGGAGCAGCTGCCTCTGTGCCCGCCCCAGACATGCTCCTGCTGGCCGTGCCCCCAACCTCTGGATGCAGCTGCCTGCCCAGCACCCGGCCTGGCGCTTCCCTCTCAGCTGGCCTGCAGAATCTCCCGCCAGGGCCGGCCCCTGGGCTCCCCCCGGACACAAGGAGACCGGAAGTCGGTCAAATAAACCGGTTTTCAGCCACTCCTCCTTCCTGGGTGCTTTGTGGGCATTTTGGGGGCGTTGAAAACACAGGCAGGTCCTCGGCTTAACGACCACAGTGTCCATTGCCAAGCCAGGCCTTTGCTCAGTGCACTCCGCCCCCTTTTCACAACCTTCCTGGCCACCGTTGTTAAGTGAGTCCCTGCAGTTGTTCGGTTAGGAACTCCGTTGTTAAGCAAATCCAGCTTCCCCCGTTGAGTTTGCTTGCCAGAAGGTCGCAAAAAGGGGATCGCATGACCCCAAGGAACTGCGACCGTCGTAAATCTGAGTCAGTTGACAACTGTGTGAAATTCGATTGTGTGACCACAGGATCAAAAGTGTGAACAATGGCCCTAAATCCCTTTCCTCAGTTGTAACTTTGAATGGTCACTAAATGAACCGTTGCAAGTCGAGGACTACGGTAGCCCAGGAGGACACAACGGGCCCTTTCCTTCCCTCTGCTCCGACGGAGGTTGGGGACACGTGCTGGGGAAGGAAATCGCCCCCTATTCAGGGAAGAGAATTGCTCTTTGCACCCCCAGATCCCTGCTGATCCCCCCCTTCCCCAATGGGGGGCAAAGGGAGTCTTGCTGGCTCCGCTTAGACATGGGGGGGGGGGCTGTTCTGCACCCTGGCCCCCCCCATCTGTCACTAGAGCAAACTTGGCCACTTTAAAACTTGTGGACTTCAACTCCCAGAATTCTCAGCTGGAGAATGCTGGGAGTTGAAGTCCACCAGTCTTAAAGTGGCCAAGTTTGGGGACAACCCCCCCCCACCCCTGGCTCTGCACCCCAACTCTGCTGGGCTTGCAGTCCTTCCCACTTTTCTGGTGGAGCTCAGCGAGCGCAAAGTCACCCCGGCAAATAATCCACGGGTAGCCCGACTGTGTGATTCATTTAGCCCAGAGGGGGCCGCTTTTAAGACCGCTGGACTCCAACTCCCAGCATTCCCCTGGCTGAGGAATTCTGGGAACTGAAGTCCACGAGCCCAAAGATGCACCCTGCTGATGTCACCGGCTTAGTTGTACCCCAGAAATAGGCTAAAGCTGGGATCCCCAAACTGGGCCACTTTAAAACTGGTGGGACTTCCAATATTACAAAAGTTGGGAATGTTGGTCCGATTGGATGGAACAAAGATAGATAATATAATAGTAAACAGTGGTGGGGGTTCAAGGATTTTTACTACTGGTTCTGTGGGCGTGGCTTGGTGGGCGTGGCAGGGGAAGGAAACTGTAAAATCTCCAGGCAGAGGTGGGATTGGCCGGTTCTCCGAACTACTCTAAATTTCTGCTTCCGGTTCTCCAGAACTGGTCAGAACCTGCTGAATGCCACCTCTGATAGTAAACATTATTAAACTGTAAAGGAGATTAACCTATATCGGTAGTAACTATTTACTCGCATTAAGATTTAATTGTAAATATGACACCAATAACATAAGGAACCACAAGCTGTCGATAATGGAATTGCCCTTTATTCGTTTGTTTTTGTTTTGTTTTGTTTTTCTATGTTGTGTATGTGTTTGTTCATTTATTTTAATTGTACATTCAATAAAGTTTGCTTTCAAAGACTGGTGGACTTCCAACTCCTGGCACAGGATCTCCTGCTTGAGCAGGGGGTTGGACTAGTTGACCTCCAAGATCCCCATGCTATGCTGGCTGGAGAATTCTGGGAGTGGAAGCCCACCAGTCTTGAAGTGGTCCAGTTTGGGGACCCCTGTGCCAAACCCAACTGAACAGCCGCACAGCCAGTGAACATGGATTCCTTCGGCTGGATCGCGCATCCCAATCCCCCCCCCCCCGGGCAGGTCCAGGCAGCCCTTGTGCGGCATGGGGAGGGGGGAGGGGCTCCCCCCAGGGCACCTTCGGACGCCCTGCTGCCCGTTAGAAGATCCCAAAAGGTTTGGGGGTGCAGGATGAGCCCCAGCATTCAGTTCCTCCAAAGGCCTTCAAAGAACAGAACCCTAGGGGACCTTGAAGGGCAGGAGGTATAAAGCAGGAGACTTTATATCTTCCCAGGCAAATGACTGCCTAATCTTTTAAAAACCTCCAGGGATGGAACCCTCACAACCCTCCACTGATTAATTTTTAACTATTCATCAAGCAAGCAATTAATTGTTCTCATGGCCAGAAAATCACTCCTTAGTTCCAGGTTGGATTTATTTCTTCTACCCATTGCCTTTCCTTCCTTCCTTCCTTCCTTCCTTCCTTCCTTCCTTCCTTCCTTCCTTCCTTCCTTCCCTCCTTCCTTCCCTTCCTCTTTCCTCCCTCCCTCCTTCCACTCTCCTTTCCCCTCCCTCCCTCCCTCCCTAAGTCATAGAATCCTAGGGCTGGGACCTTGGAGGTCATCCAGTCCAACCCCCTGCTCAAGGCAGAAGCTCTCCTACCATCCCGGTTAAATGGTCGTCAAGGCTGTTTTAGGAAACGTCAGAGTGATTTCATGATGCTGGGATGGTGAACATGAGAACTGGGCCCCTCCCTCTGCCAAACCCACTTTCCCCAGGAGGGGGAGCTGCAGAGTTCCCAGGCACCTCATACACAGAACCTACTACGGTCTGTCGCCCCAACCAGCCCCTCCTTTTCCCCTTGTAAAACAGCAGGATTGGGGGGGGGGGGCGTTTAAGTCCATCCCTATTTGGTTCCTCCCCCCCAGTCGTCCTTTCTCCAGGCTGACCAAAAACGCTGAACAAACTGCGGTTCCTGGATTTCACAATTCTCACACCAAGGAAGCGGCGCATCCGTGTCCCTCAACCATCACACACACCAGAATAAGAGAGCTGGAAGCAGCAGGTGGCGAATTCAGCCGGTTCTGACCAGTTCTGGAGAACCGGAAGCGGAAATTTTGAGTAGTTTGGAGAACCGGCCAATCCCACCTTTGACTGGAGATTTTACAGTATCCTGCCCCTGCCACGCCCACAGAACCAGTAGTAAAAAAAAATATTGAATCCCATCACTGGTTGGAAGGGACCTTGGAGGTCTTCTAGTCCAATCCCCTGCTTAGGCAGGAAACCCTACACCACTTCACACAAGCAGCTGTCCAATCTCTCCTTAAAAACTCCCAGTGTTGGAGCATTTACAACTTCTGGAGGCCAGTGGTTCCACTGGTTAATTGTCATCCCTGTTAGGAAATTCCTCCTTATTTCCAGGCTGAATCTCTCCTGGATCAGTTTCCACCCATTATTCCTTGTCTGGCCTTTGGGGGCTTTGGAGAATAGCTTGACGCCCTTCCTCCTCTCTGGGGCAGCCCCTCCCTCAAATATTGGAAGTCTGCTCTCCTGTCTCCCCTGGTCCTTCTCTTCCCTGGACTAGCCAGGCCCGGTTCCTGCAACCGTTCTTTATATTTAGAATAGAATAACAGAATAGGAAGGGACCTTGTAGTCCACCCCTTGCTCAAGCATTCCTGCACCATTTCTGACAGGTGGCAGTCCAGTCTCTTCTTGAAAGCCTCCAGGGATGAAGCTCCCACCACTTCCGAAGGAAACTTCTGTTCCGTTGGTTGATTGTTCTCACTGTCAAGGAAATTCCTCCTTATTTCCAGGTTGAATCTCTTCTGGATCAGTTTCCACCCATTATTCCTTGTCTGACCTTCGGGGGCCTTGGAGAATAGCTCGACCCCATTCCTCCTCTCTGGGGCAGCCCCCCAAATATTGGAAGGCTGCTCTCCTGTCTCCCCTGGTCCTTCTCCTCCCTAGACCAGCCAGGCCCAGTTCCTGCAACCGTTCATTGCATGTTTCAGCCTCCAGTCCCCTCATCCTCCTGGTTGCTCTTCTCTGCATTTTTTCTAGAGCCTCAACATCTGTTTTTCATATCATGGCAGCCCAAACTGGATGCAGGATTCCAGGTGAGGCCTTACCGCGGCCTTGCAAAGTGGTATCAACCTTTCACCTGATCTCCATTCCGTTGATGCCACCGAGGGTTGCATTGGCCTCCTTCGCGGCTGCGGCTGCTGCTGCTGCACATGGCTGGCTCCTGTTTAGGGGATCGTCCCCTCGGACTCACAGTGACCCATGAGACCCCGAGACCGAAAGTAGAGTTGGGGCCCAAATTGGCTCTCCGGGAAACCTCTCTCTTTGAGGAAGAAGAGACCAACACGCTTAGTGGCGGCCATTGGGGGGACCCCAAAAGGCTGCGGGGGGAGGGGGACACATGTTTCCCTTTGTCCTGGAAATGCCACCCGACTTCCTCTTCCTCTCCACAACAGGGCAGACCAACGCAGGGCATGTTCCCTCCCTGGGTGGTGCTGGGCACGGATGGGGCTTCGTTCCTCTGCAGGCAGGAAAGGCAGTCCTTGACTTACAACCATTCATTTAGCGACTGAGCTTAACGATGACGCTGAAGAAACTCACTTATGGCCGGTTTTCACACTTGCGACCGTTGGCAGCCGCCCCTGTGGGTCACGTGATCGAAATTCAGCTGCTTGGCGACTGGCACGGACTTATGACGGTTTGCAGCATCCCCTTTTCCAAGGACAAGCAAAGTCAATGGGGGGTGGGTGGGAGAAGGATTCGCTTAATGACCACATGGTTTGCTTAACAACTGCAGCAAGAAAGATTGTAAGAAAAGTGAGGGAAGTCCTTAGCGGAATTGTCAGTGGGGGCACAACTCACTTTAACAACAGCCTGGCCTGGCAATGGAGTCCCTTGTGGTCATAAGCCGAGGACCAGCTGTCCCACTTCAGGGAAGGGAAGCGGTCAGG